GTGCATCATACGTATTTTTAATCAGAGTCAAAGGGAAGTGTATCTTCGCCGATCGCCTTCGGACGGTCGGTTTTCACTTCGAAAATAAGTCGCACATATCTCAAATTATATGCCTTCCTTGTGCAAGAAAAGCTAACAGTTTTTGCCAGTTTTATGAACTGTTGAATAAGGCCGCTTCTCAATGTCCGGATTCCCGCGATGTTTCGTCGAAATGAAAGTTCTCAACACCGACAGGAAAAAGTCCAGGTAGAAAGAGCTTGCGTGTCCGCTCCCCGGCACATGCAAAACCTACATCTAGCAGGGAAGCGTTGTTTGACTCGCCGACGAAAGGACAACCCTCAACTTCAGCGATGGATACAAATTTAAACATTGATTTGGATCCAACGTCCATCGGCTTTGCAATGTTGTGGTTAAGGGCAAGTTTGAGAATGAAGACGCCATTCTTATCAAGGCCCTGAGCTTGAACAAGTGGATGGCTGCCACAAATATTCTACTTCGACATCGATTCTTGAGGGCAGAACTTCTCGAAATCACCGTCGTCCGCCATTTTCTAAAAGGTAGTCACCACGAAGACTGTTTAGTTCGAGGGTTGATTGACAACGTGTTGCTCTCAGCCAATGGGAATTTTTCGTCCATACGAGATCGGAAATTTCGTTGGTTAGTGGGGTCTGTGGCAAGCCCTCTCTCTCCCCTCCGCACATTCCGCTCGCCCCAATCCCCCCTCCTCTCCCCCAGGGCTTGCTTCGCAGGCTACGTTCTCCCAGGTTACTGCAGCATGTTTCTTAAGAGTTGTCACCCGATGGGATATTTTGAAACCTTAATCGTATGACCAAACTTCCGCAAGTCTCCTATAGCTCAGTGGTAGGGCATCCGAAGTAGTAATCGGAAGGTCGTAGGTTCGACTCATTTTGGGAGCATTCGTAGTTCTTTTCCTCTAAGTACGCTTTTGTCATTCAATGAATAAAATTTTCTTTCAAAGGCGAAACAAACACCCCTGATCGAGCCCAGGAACATCCTGTTGGCTCAAGTTCTAACCCTTGTGAAGAAAACTCTACTGGAGCAGTGGAAAGCGAATGTGCCCCTCCAAATCTTTCTGATGGTCGAGTAAGTAAAAGACACATACAGTGTAGGTTGCATCTTGCTTCTTGTTCCTTGCGAAGTTTCAAATTACAAATGTCAATCGCACGTTCAACGAGGGCTAGCTGAATTGAGTTTAAAATTATTATAGTCGAACAATAAAAGAAACATATTCTTTCTCTCTTAATGCTGACTTACATGTTACTTGGTATACTTAAATGTAGCGTCAAGAATCGAGTGGTCCAGTCACGAGAGCGGCTGCAAAGAGAGAATCACATAATCAGTCCAATGTGTCACACAAAGGAGAAGATAAACATGTATCTCAGTCTCATCCACCCCAACCGGAAGACGAGGTAAAACTTTGTTACAAAAATGAGAAAGAAATGTCTTGTTTGCGAGAAGGGTCTCGTAACAACTGCGGTCCTAAGATAGAAATGCCAAGGAGCCTAGAACTAAAGTAGAGAGCTCCGAGTCATTCCCTTCTCCTTCTGGGCTTCTTACCAGTCACTTTAGTGCTCTTGAGAGGGAGGAGCGTGGGAATTATTCTGAACTGTTCACCGATGAATCCTTTGTTTTCGTTATCAGACGAAATTAGGTGAAGGTGGTAATGAAAAACTGAAAAAAGGAAAGCATCAAAGTTCAGACGAGAAGGATGGAAGCGCCACTGGGCAGAGACCCACAGTGTAAGTTGTGTCGAAGAAAATGTGAAAGAGGAAAGGAAATTAACAAAAAGTAAAAAACGCTTTCATTTCGCCCTCTCTTGCAAATGAGCTGCAGCAGAGTTCACATCAGCAATGCAGAGATGCACAAACGGCAGAAATTGGCGACGAATTGACTGCGCACGAAATTGAGCAGGCAGCTTCTTTTCATCGCTTTTCACTGCTTTTGTTGCTTTTATTGCACATTTTAACATTAAAAATTATGATCACGGAGTCCTGTTGTTGCCGTTGTTTTTGTTTGATGTCTTTAAAAAATAGGCATTGGTGAAAATATGGTGAAGATATACTATCTTTGCTACTCAGAATTTGATTTGTCTATACACACGCCTTCCTTGCTGATTATTTGCAGACAGAAGCGTTCTTTAACCTTACAACAAGTTGCACCAGAAGCTGGCGTTACTGTGGTCTTCCATGTTCTGCTTGCATCAAATTTTAAAATGACGGACGAAAGGCTCTTTATACGAGCCGGTGGGGATGATTTGGGCCACTTTCGAGAGAACTGTGTCGATATGATTCCAGTTGAGTAAGTAATGTGTTTCAAAAGGTGTTTTCATTTCATAATGTCTCCTTACATATCCATTGAGGTGGAACATGGAAGGAATGATCTCCATTATAGTTGGCTTTCAGAGACGCTAGAGGTGATTGTTTTCCAGTGAGATCTAGAATACATCACAATGTATCTAGTATCCCTTTGGTCTTCTTTTAGCCCGCAGGTTTTCTTCTGGAATCAGTAGGTTGAGTTGTTACCTTCAATTCTTTTTTCTGAGCTGGTTGACCGTCAATGATGATTTTTAGAGAATAGGGGGAGACGAGGGAGAGAGTGCGTTGCATGACGTGACCATACAACGGCTGCGAAGGAGACTACAGCTGTCTGCAGCAGGCGTGGCACCAATGCAGTTTATTTCTGCTTAATTTGTTCAGGAAGCTTTGACAACAAAGCACAAAATACTAGTGTCTAAGTTTATTTTATATAAATCGAAAGGTTTCTACTCTCTATCGAACGGTATTTTTGTTGGAAGCTTTGAAAGTTAGTGTCTTTTTTCTTTTACAAAATTGAAAACATCAGTTACTTTAAATCTCAACCCACTCCTCCCCCAAAAAATAACTTTTGTGTTGCATGCCATGTTTTTTCTTCCTTTCGCTCCATCTTGATCAAAATACACCTTGTAGACCTCACTAACGCAAACGAAGAAGAAGAATTATATGGAAGACCACTCAACTGAAACGAAGAGGGCTTCAAAGTCTTAACATTGCGTATGATAACAGTCTTAACCACCGTTGAGGAAATATTTTGTCGGACCACACGCTAAAATAATTAAGAAGATTTTTCCTTCGTTTTGCTTCATTCTGGACCAAATATAACTTTGAATACCTCACAAATGGAAAGAAACAGATTTCAAAGTCGTGAATTAGACGATGAGAGTATGATGTCCATGGCAGAAAAACAGGCTAAGCTATCCAAAAAAAGAACTTTAATCTCAATAAAACAAACACACGTGGTCTTGTAATGAAGATCTATCCAAAAGCAAATGCCCGGATCACTTAACAAATAACCGCTGACCTAGAACATTACAGAGAGCAGATCACAACAGACCCAACGATAGGAATGGCGCCAACTAATTAAAAATGCACTATTTCAGTTCGAAAGAAGAGCTGGCAAGTGGAATACATGTCAGATAGAAGCATCTGGATAAATTGAAACGTCGTTTTCTGCAATCAGTGGTGCTCTAAGAGTATGATACATTTGGACACTAGGATCAACACACTCATTGTGGCATTCGCTCGAATGTTTGGCCGCGTAAACTTAAATCAGCGATGTTTTCTATCTTAACTAAATGTCTGAGAACCCAGAGTACCTGTGAAAATGAGAGATGGACACGCACGCTGGACTGATAAGGTTTTGCGTCAAAATGCATGTGACCGTTATTTGTTTACCGTACAAATAACTTCGAAAAAACTAAAAGATTTTTTATCGCATAATTTCAATGTCAAATTTATTCGTGCACTGCAAAGGAAACGCCCAAGTTGAAATTCCGGCTTCGGTTTTCGTTTCGTTAAGTTGCAAATCGTAATCAAGTCCTTATTACGCGTGCGTGACGTTTTGACTTTGACGCATGCGCGGCTGATAAGTACATGATACGGCGTAATGGCGGAGGAAGAGAAGTTTTCGCGGAGCAAAATCAGCACAGATGCTGGGTATAATACGCTAACTATGCACGTAGCGTTCGCAGTAGCCCACACTAATAAATAATATGTCGAGAGTTTTCCGGAACGACTCAGTCCGTGAATCTTATTAGAGTTATCTTTATGAGCGAACCTTTCTTCAAGAAGCATGCTATATCAACTGATCGATCTATCGTCCTGTACAAACAAATGTAGGTACAAAAAACAGAGCTTCTTTCGAACACAAAGCCTTAGTTGGACGCAAATATGCGTCTAGTTTCGCCTGAACTGCGTGCTATTTTACTCGCTAGCGCACCATTTCACTCAGTGTCGAGCTCGACACTCTTCTTCGTTCCATGTGATACGTGCTTTGTTTTCTTCATCATACGATACGAACAATAAAAAAATGTAAATTAGGCGTGCAAATGCAACACGTCGCTCCGCCTGTGGCTGCGCAGCAAGTATAGCAAGCGAGCAGCATCATAATCAGGATTGGGAAAGAATATAGAGGATGCGAATTCTCAGATTCATCACTTTTTATCAGAATGCATTGCAGCTTTCAACCAGAGTGCAATGCGCCACGATTGTTGTGTTTATTGTATCGCGCAACATAACGTTATTACAGTTACGACATTTTCTTTACATACTCAATCGTGTTGTTAATCTACCTTTCTAGGTCAAGGCAAATTAACTAATCGCGAGTATTGTATGGTAAATTTACTATCGTGATCACTGAATGAAGGATAGTTGAATGCGAGCAATGAAAGGAGTCACTTGATCAATGAATAACTCCGCTTTGCGTAAGTTGACACGCCGGTAAGCCGGAAAGCGAAAGATGTGGTAGGCTTGTGTGCCATTCGTTAGTGCCATTTCGTTCTGCCCTCAAAGTTAAGCTCTTATTAAAATACCTCTTAATGACTTTCCTTTGCGATGTAATACTAGGGGCTTTTAAGATGTCATTTCCCCATCTGTATGTTGTTGAGGTTTGGCAAATTGTTTTAGAAAAGGCAATATTTCTCTTCTCTGCGGGCGCCATTTTCTCTTTTTCTAGTATTCTTTCGCTCCCGCAGAAAATAACTTCAGAGATAGTTTTCTCAGTGTAAGTCTTCGAACTCGCGGGTAGATGAATCATTGCACACAATGTGCCGCAGTATTACTATCTTTTAGATACACTAGTTTAGCGTGTTGTTTCAGCGTGTCCGTGCGTTCATCTTTTATTCCCTGTTTTCCCGTGGTGGGTCACAAAATGCGAAACTGTTAATACAGGTAATCACCAGACATTAAATGACCCTGATCAAATTACGATATGATCTCAATCCTGTGATTTCTTGTTTTATCTCCGTGCAGAACCAGTGGGAGAAAGGTCAAAGAAAAACTTATGCTCTTTCGCGGGGAGTTCACTTTGAAACTTGATCGAAGTCGCATAGGCGTTTATTACAAATATCTGGTAGTCAAAAAGGGAGTTTCTTATTATGAAGAATTACCAGAATTTCCCTCCCACTTCGGTAGTGTCGTCAACAGAGCCATACGAATTCCTGAAAACTGTATTAAACCGGGCGGTAAGTACACATTTAAATGATCTTTATTATTACTTAATGTAACATTACTGTTTACTTTCATGAAAAAAATCAATTATGGTTCTTATATTAAAAGAAATCATTGTGTGAATCGGATTAAATCTTAACTTTCGTTATAATCCAGCTGCATTGAGAAGAGTACAAGTACCGCGCGAATCGAGTACAAATGTCATGCGATATTGAACAGTTGTTTATTTTGTACTGCGAAACAAAAACTGCTTAACTGGTCGGCTATGCACATTACACTTCTCTATCTGCTTTGCTTTTCCCACTTTTTAAGAAATACGCGTGAAGTAAAACAGTTGGATACTGGATAACTTATTAGACGTTTTGGTGTATAGTATCGCTGAGTACTTTTACGAGTTGTGCGGGCGAGTCAAAATGCGGCACAGCTATTAATAATACTCAGCGATACTACACACTAAAACGTCTAACAGGGTTCCCCCGCTCCTTGAAAGTCCTTGAAAGTCCTTAAATTTAATTTTTTGTTTCAAGGACTTGAAAACCCTTGAATTTAGACCCAGGTCCTTGAAAATTTCTGGCAAGTCCTTGAAAATAAGTGCAGATGAATGAAAGTTGAGGTTTTCTTTTGTTTTCGGTGTTGAAAGTGCAAGTTTGTGGTTTCAAATCGTGAAAACAAATTTTCCTTTCAAATCCCGCGTCTGATCATGATATTTGACACTTGATTTTAATATATTTTGTACCCAATTGGTGCATTGAAAGTTACCTTGGTTACATAGCACGTAATCACTCTGATGTGCATGCTCAAAGTCCCGCTCGTTGGACTTTTTGGCCGGTCCTGTGCGCACATTCGTGTTATTGAAAGACGTTAGTGTGTTTCTCTCTCTTACTTCTAACGACATGAGAACAACGATCGCAAACAAAAAATCAACTTTAGATCGTTTTGAAACTTTGTTTGACAATTTGATGTCTCACGAGCAAATCCAACGCGTACGTTACAGAAGACTTTTCGCATCCCCTTCTCTATTTACTTCGCTTTTCCCACCTTAGAAGAAATCAGGGGAAAATACATATAAAAGAAAGTAGTTGGATAATAAATAGCAAATAACCTTGTTTGTATTTTGATTCGCCTTACGGGTTCGTCAAAATATGGACAAATGGTAAAAATACTTGCTATAATAACTGGGTCCTTTTTTGTCTCACAGCAACATGGAATCAATATGACGGAGTAGCCTACATTTACGGAGACAAGGGCATGCTTTCCAAAATAGCAGATTTTTTTTCCGGCAAGAATAATCTAGCTGAATATCGAACGAAGGCAATGATGTGTTTTCTACCAAAATGGAGGGGTTTTCTTGTGGACGAAACCCCCGCAAAAATGGATGCCACAGAAGCGGTAAAGAGACTAATTGATGTCGTGGAATGTCTCTCACATGTTTGGATAGAAGAAGGTGGTTACTTTAAGCTAAAGAAGCCTACCAATTTTAATGTCCAAAAGGTAGAGTGCTAGATGATGGGATTGTTTTAATTATTTCAAGGTTATCGGTCGTTTCATACCCACAGTCGTCATATAACCGGTTGTTTCGTACCAAGTGAGTGGAGCCGTTTTGCTACTATACTAATTAAGTACGTTTGCCATGTTAAGGTTATTCCCCAGAATTGCTCTGCGCATTCTTTACTGCTAATGAAAGTCACGTAATCAGGCGCGCGCATTCTGAGAACATGGTACAGTTATTTAATCAATGGACCACGTACAGAGGTACGATGGTGTCTACCTCTTGAACGAACGCGGTGACCTATAGTTTTTTATTGCACAAGTTTGGTTGACAAATTATGGGGGAAATTATCATCGAAGGAAAAATCAATAACTCGATAGAAGTTTAGCGTAGTCTGTACTCTTATCGAAAACGATATTCCTCAACACGGTGCTCAAAATTTTGTGCATTCATGAGGTACAGCCAATTGAGTCTGCAACAAATTTTGACCACCGTGATGACGAATATCGTTGTCGTTAAGAGTGCAGACCACGCTTAACCTCTGTCGAGTCTTTTTCACTACAATATCGACGACTAATGAAACGATTCTTTAAGTGCGTTACCATTGCTAGCAGCGTTGTCTTCATTCTTATCGATGACGGTTAATTGGCTAATCAGATTAAATAATAAAGTTATATCTAAAAGCATGCACGAAGCCCGTTACTCATGCTTACAAATTATGACCTTGAAAGCAACTACACGAGAAACTGTTTGAGTCGATGCCGTGTAAAATTAAAAGTGTTACTTTAAAAGGCCTTGCTTCCAGATACCGCAAAATGTACCGTGAACTGATAAAATGACGCGGGTGATTAGTGCCAGTACCGATATAAATTTTGGCCGATGAGTTTTCTTAAACAAGCATGGTGGCTTATCTTCTTTGTTATCCAAATGAGCTTCGTAGAAAACAAATCACGATAACGCGCGGGACCAGCGCAAATATCACGCGATATTTGTACTTCAGAAAATCCGCGAAATTCGCCCGTGCTGAAATAACAATTTGGCCTGTTGGATAATAAATCTTTTATTTAGACGTTTTGTTGTGTAGTATCGCCGAGTATTTTTACTCGTTATTTGTACTTTGACTCACCTTACGGGGTCGTCAAAATACAGCACAACTCAATTTTTTCTTCAAAACAGACGTTGGCAGGGAACATATAACGAGAGTTTAAAACAAATATTTAATGACTATTTTTCCTGAGGAATCACCTTAAGTACGTGGGATCAATTTTGGCCGTTCGCGCGCTAATTTCCGCAAAATTTAAAAGACAAACATGGGAAACAACCGCTCTCTTGTAAAATAAGCGAGAGAAAATTGAAGTGTTCCCCTAGATTTGTTATCGAAACAAAGTGTAGCGAAAAGCAAAACTTGTGAATTTTCGAACAAAAAGCTTATTTAAGTACGGAAATCCCGTTGCTTGACCATTATTTTTTGAGATTTACCAAAAAAGTCATACACATCTGAAGCCCGCAGCTTACTGGTCTTTGCGGCTCTCTGTTACTTTGTTCTGACAGCCGAAAGCACGCCTTTTAGTCATTACAACGTTCACACATGCGCAGACGTTTGACTGCTTGGTACGAATCAACCGCTGTGTTCATACTGCTAGGCAATAAACTAGCGTTTTTGTTAAGGTCACAGATATGCACAGAATTTTGCTTGTACTCGCAACTTGTCGCACGCAACAATCTGAAATTGTTCACGCCCTCGTGCGTGTGGTATTCAAATGAATGTATCTTGAACTGGGTACGAATCGACTGAATTTGGGTACGAAATAACTGGCTACCATTTAAAACATAGGCATGCTATGTATTGCACGAGTTAATTTTTGGATATGTGGGTTGAAATGGGACACTTATTAACTGATGCTGGTGTCTGAATAACTGTTGGCAATAATGAACTGCACTGATACCATGCTTCCTGCAGTCCCCTCCAAAGCCCTAATTTATACTCGTCACGTAACGCTCTCTCTCCAATGTTGCGCGACGAGACTGAACAATAACCTGCTCGTAGTCTATAATAATGCTTACTGCCGCCTCTTCGTCAGAGACAAAGTCGTAACAGCTATTCTAGCCGTAAAGGGCCAGAATCATTCCGTTTGGTTTTTCCTGTGCAGGAAAATGGACAATAGGCATTACCGGTACGTAGCACTTTTTAAGACTCACTCTACCTAACCACCGCGTGAGGGGCGGCACAAGGTCGGAAAAATGGACCCCTCGATATTTCGTCCAGAGATAACCTATAGTATGCTAAGAATCGTAATATAAGTTTTAGGTTCTAGAGTTTTTACATTTTTGAGAAAATTACGAAAAACCGTCGACCACCCGTGAAGCCGAAAAATCACAAGAATGAGGTCAATTTTCATGATCAGATAATCGAACTCGCGTGAAGGCGCATAATAAATTATGGTTTTCCTTAGTTTATAATTTTATTAAGGAGGTATTGCTAAGCTGCCTTGATGACATTTCAGACTTGCAATAGTAATTCCGAGTTCCTGGAGAGCAAGCAAAGAGAACCGAAATTTCTAGACTCTGAAAATAAAAAAAAATCCATGCCGTTTTCAAACATCTCAAAACATACTCGATATTATGTAGAATTCTTTCAAAATTAATTCATAGCAATTAAAAGAGCTTTTTTTGAACGTGATATAATTTTTTTCTTGGCAAAAATTATTTCTGAGGCGAGCGGCCCCATGCAAGTTGACCCAATTTGACCTTTCGAAGAGATTTTGTTTCACCAGGAAATGTAAACAATTCGACTAGCCTTAGCTCGCTTTCTAAGCAAACCATAGAAAAACCCTGCCAGTTCCCATTAAAACTGCCCAGTAAATCTAAGATAAAATTTAGATGACAGCTTACCTTCTAAATGGGTGTTTGAAGGCAAATAACTTTGATGTTCTATGCTAATGTTCCAGTGTCTTGCTTAGCCACCGGCCTTTTCATACGGCTACGGCATTTTCTAAGTGTAACCTTAAGTTTCCCCGGTTTGTGCAATATTTTTGCGGAACCTGGATCCATTTCTTACATATAGAGCCTCTTTTGGGTGTCTATTGAGTTTTGTATTGAATGTCTCTAATGAAAAGAGGCAAGATGTGAAGGAACTAATTAATTGAACTGAAAAATAGACCCAGATTCTA